TATTAATTTTATTTGAAATTTGAGACATTGCACCTATTACCAAAGGATATAAAATACTTAATAGCTATTAAATAATTATGTACCTATAATATAAGCTATACATTATATATTTATAAATATATAAATAGTAAATATTAATATTTTAAATAATTTTGAGTATACTAATGTAATTTTAATATATAATAATTAATATTAGTATTAATAATAATTAATAATTAGTATTAATAATACTAATATAAATTAGTATTTATTACGAATGGCATTTTTGTGTCGATAGCATCTGAACTTCAACACTCCATTTATGAAACCTGGCAACACATTTTACGCTCATTCTATAAAAATGGATCCAAATCCAATTAAAACGGCTCTTAATGTTTGCAAACAACTTATTGTGCGAAGAGTATATGCTGTAATTGTATCTCATCCGCAAATTGGGGATTTGTCTCCAGCCGCTGTATCTTACACTAGTGGTTTCTATCATATACCTGTGATCGGTATTTCATCCAGAGATTCAGCTTTTTCTGATAAAGTAATATGAAAATTAGTGCAAACATAAAACTATATCTACTGTAAACTGATTGTTAATTGTTTAAATTATTTAAATAAAATTCAATGCCTAATTAATTTTTAAGAATATTCACGTATCCTTTCTACGTACTGTTCCGCCATATTCACATCAAGCTGAAGTATGGGTTGAATTACTCAAATATTTCAACTACTTAAAGGTACATTAAAATTCTGTAAAGAATCTAGTATTAACACTTTAATGTTCAAATATTTTTGACCAATGTTGATGGTATTGATTGCATCACGATATGCAGGTCATATTTATTCACAGTTCAGACACTGATGGTAGAGCATTTGTGGGCAGATTCCAAACTACTTCTCAAAATCAGGGAGAGGATATCGAAAAAAAAGTCCAGGTGTGATACTGCAATACACTATTTAATATCACGAAAGAAAAATATTCAGTACAATAATTTTACGAGGGATTTTTTTTTTTTTTTAGGTGGAAGCAGTAATTGAGTTTGAACCGGGTTTATTTCATTTCAACAACCAGTTGAACGAAATGAAGAATGCACAAGCAAGAGTGTACCTGATGTACGGGAGCAAAATAGATGCCGAAGTGATTTTCAGGGACGCAGCTCATCGTAACATGACCGAGGCAGGATATGTGTGGATTGTAACGGAACAAGCTTTAGACGCTACAAATGTACCAGAAGGGACAATTGGGTTGAAATTAGTTAATGCCTCAAACGAATTAGCTCATATATACGATAGCATGTAAATATAGTTTTGCTATTTAGAGATAATTAACAAAATATTAATTTAAATTTGATTTTCAGATATATATTAGCTTCAGCTATTACAGATATGAACCGCACTAAAACAATAACAACACCGCCAGCTGATTGTGATAATTCTGGGGCTATTTGGGATACGGGAAAAACTCTATTTGAGTAATTTTCACAGTTTTTATTTAAATTTGATCAATACATTTAGTAAGAAATTATACTATTTTTTGATGAATATTTAGATATATAAAGAAACAAGTTTATAAAGATGGACACACGGGTAAAGTAGCGTTCGATAATAACGGTGATCGAATATACGCTGAATATGATATAGTCAATGTTAAGCAAGTGACAAAGAAAGATGCTATTGGAAAATATTATTTTGACAATGTAATAACGATTTATTTATTAAAAAAAAAAAAACAATTGAAAATTATTAATTTATCTTAGGATCTTAATAAAATGAAACTAAGACTCAACGAATCAAACATTATATGGCCAGGGCAATTGAAGAAGAAACCTGAAGGGTTTATGATCCCGACTCATTTAAAAGTTTTAACAATTGAAGAAAAGCCATTTGTTTATAAAAGACCTTTAAAAAAGGATGACGGGAATAGTTGCAAGTCAGATGAAATTATGTGTCCATTATATAATACTTCAGCTAAAGGTAAAATTTTCATTCAAAAACTGATAAAAATATACTGACACATATCTTTCATTTTTAGAACCAGAGATTTTTTGCTGTAAAGGATATTGTATTGATTTACTTGTAGAGCTATCGAAAACCATTAATTTTACTTATAGTTTATCATTATCGCCAGATGGACAGTTTGGAAATTATGAGATAAGAAATAAATCAGGTAAGCATATTTTTTTATTAGAATAATTCAAAAAGTTAATAATTAAGTTAGTATAATAATATTTATACATTATAGGTGGCGGAAAAAAAGAGTGGAATGGATTAATCGGAGAATTAGTGTTTGAAAGAGCAGACATGATATTAGCTCCTCTTACTATCAACCCAGAAAGAGCAGAATTCATAGAGTTCAGTAAACCATTCAAGTACCAAGGCATTACAATTTTGGAGAAAAAGGTTAACAGTTCACACTCATAATTTTGGTACAACAATACATCATAATGTTTCTATATTTTACAGCCATCACGGTCTTCAACTCTCGTATCATTTTTGCAACCGTTCAGTCACACGCTTTGGGTGCTTGTTATGGGTTCTGTACATGTAGTCGCACTTGTTTTGTACTTACTCGATAGATTTTCTCCTTTTGCTAGATTCAAGTTAATTAACGCTGATGGTACAGAAGAAGATGCTCTAAATTTATCAAGCGCTACATGGTTTGCATGGGGAGTATTGTTAAACAGTGGTATTGGAGAAGGCACGCCTAGGAGTTTTTCAGCCAGAGTACTCGGAATGGTGTGGGCCGGATTCGCCATGATAATCGTTGCATCGTACACTGCTAACTTGGCTGCTTTTCTCGTGCTCGAAAGACCTAAAACTAAACTATCGGGAATAAATGACGCTAGGGTAAAAATAACAGTTCATAGAAAAAGTGAATATTATTAAATTATTTATTATAGATTTTATGTACATAATATTATAATAGCTTCGGAGTACAATGGAGAATTTAACTTGTGCCACAGTTAAAGGATCAGCAGTCGATATGTATTTTAGACGACAAGTTGAACTATCCAATATGTATAGAACAATGGAAGCCAATAATTATGAGACTGCCGAACAAGCAATTCTAGATGTCAAGAATGAGTATGATTCATACATTTTGGTTGATGTAATATAATATTTTATGCCATTTAAAATTATTTTCAGCAAACTTATGGCTTTTATATGGGATAGCAGTCGCTTGGAATTTGAGGCAGCTCAAGATTGTCAATTAGTCACTGCTGGTGAATTATTTGGACGATCTGGATATGGGGTTGGTCTACAAAAAGGATCTCCCTGGGCAGAATCGGTTACATTATCGATTTTAGATTTCCACGAAAGTAATATGAAACTGTTAAACTATAGATAACTATTCTAATAGATGATTTAAATTAGGTGGTATTATGGAAGAATTGGATGATAAATGGATATTTCAAGGGAGAGTGGAACAATGTGAAGATCAAGAAAAAACACCAAATACATTAGGATTGAAAAATATGGCTGGCGTTTTTATACTTGTTGCTGTGGGTATAGTGGTTGGGATGGTTTTAATTGTTATCGAGATCGGCTACAAAAAACATCATGTACGTAAACAAAATCGATTGCAATTGGCTCGAAATTACGGACAAACGTGGAGGGCTATTGTTCAAGTTAGTATAAATAATGTTCTTACTTAGCATAGAAATATGCGTCCATGTTTGGTTTAATAGATATAAGTGAGTTATAATGAAAACTTAAATCATTTTTTTAGAAACGAAAAATGATGAGAATGCAAGGTCGAGGTAGTGGAGTTGGTGCACTTAGCTTGTCTGTTGAAGCGTTGCCTAGAAGCGTCTTAAACATACAAAGTCCAATTCGATCAATTGAAACTTTACCAAGAACTTGTCGCAATTCACCAAGTCCCACACGAGCTTGGTCAGGCCGACAGATGGTACATAGAAAGAGTGATGATATTCCGCTCAGGTCACCAGTAGGAGGTCCTCCACAATTACACTTCCATAATAATTTCATATAATAGTTATTAAAGTAATTTTTAGTTAACCATTAAATGATAAAATAAGTAAATCTTTTGGTCAGTAAAATTTAAAAATTTGTTAAATATAGGTAGTATATAAATTAAGATTATTAGTTTTTGGTATGTTTAAAAAATATATACTTGTTTCAAATTTTTAAGTATCGAATATAATTGATACCTACTATTACATTGATCTAATTTGTTGATTTGGTGTTTTGTTTATTTAAATTTTATTAAATATGTTAAAAAAATCATTATTATTATTTAAATCTAAATGTGTATATATACTTCAATATTATCAATAAAAATATTAACGCTCTTATTATATATTATAATTCATATACGAGTACATTCAGTTGAAATATTAAGTAGTGTTAAACGATTAATTGATCAATAACTAGATAATTAATTAAATTTACATTTTACTTTATATTGAAAAAATTTATTAAAAATGATATTTTTTAGTGCTAAATGTTATTTTTTCGACCTAACAATTGTAATGTATTCGTAATTAATTTTTCCTACTACTCAATATATTATTTACTATATACACCTTTATGGTTATTATTTTGTACTGTCGATTATACTATGTTACATAATTATATAGGTTTATATTGGTTAATTATTACATACGTAAGTAAATGTTATTAGTTAAAAATTTAATTTAATTTGCTAATAATCATGTGCACATTTGTGCAAGAACAAGAATAACGAGTTTAATTTAGTTAGTCAATTAATTTAAAAAAATTAAATAATTTCTTTTTTGTATATCTATGTATATGTAATAGATAAGAAATAAGTTTGTATAAGAATTATAAATAGGAGTAGCAATAACAATAATTAGTATTATATTTTGTATTATCATATGTCTTTTGTTACTGGTTATGTTTTTCTAATTTGTTTTAATTTTCTGTAATTCCGTTGTTATATTGAAATTTACATTGTAATACACATGTGATTTGATTGTCATTTATCTTTTTATTATTATTATTATATTACCTATTTCATTATGGATTGAAAATTTAAAAAATTTAAAACTCTACTCTCATACTTTTGAAAGGTAAGTACTAGTATTGTATTACGATTTTCTTTATTACCTACCAAATAATTTATAGCAGTCTTGTACACAGTCAATAAATAATGAAAAAGAGGTGGATATAGATGATCTAGGAATTCCTGTGATCATCATTAATGATAATTTAATTTACATGTAAATTAATAGATTTATGTAAACTTATATACAAATTTTTCTTGAACATAAAGAAAAATATTTATGTCAGGTGTGATATTTGAAACTGAAATATGCAAGTTTGCTTCTAAAGACTGTTGTGAAATGCATGATCCATGTTTATTTTTTATAATTTGAAATTGTGAAAATGCAGTTTCACAAAGATATGTCGATTAAGTATTGCGAAAGGTATTAATATAAGTAAAGCCGCTTTTGAAATTACAGGATAGTCTTGCTGTGGTCTCAGGCACGTAGCTAAAGGAGGACCAAGGTGTGCCTGGCCCACCCTAATATGTGTCCGGCTTTAGACCGGCCCACCTAAAGTATTGAGAGAGGCTCATTATTATATGATTGCTTTTAATTTTTACAACATTTTTAATATTGCCTAAATATGACGCAAATAAAACCAAATACATCGGGTTTTAATTATAATCTAAGTAATGTAAGTTGTAACTAAATTTAAACGATCGATTAGGAAATACTTGCTATTTATAGCTAAATACCGGTACTATACTACAATGTCAAGTTGTTCTTATCATATCTAAACAGTAACTACTGTATAATTGTATGTCTATTTTTAAAATACTTTGAGCGAGGGTATTGTCATTATATTGATTCATATAGAAATATAGAATTATATTATGGTCTCCGATTGGGCACTTACATTCACATTCAGCGCACACCGCACTTATGCTAACGTCACCTGCGTAAATATTTGTACAATTTATAGTATTTATACATTTTATTTTATATATTTAATATTAAATTAATTTTAAAATGGCACCTCTCAGTGGATGTGCCAAAAGAAAACTAAAATTACAAAGAGAATAGCAAAATGATAAAATATGGTATTATTAGGTTATATATATTTGTAGTAATGATACGCTGATAACTACCTTTTTATAATATAAAAAAGTCCTGAGAGGAGGGGGCTCACCTTACATTGGCCCACCTAGTGAATATTTTCTGACTACGTGCCTGTGTGGTCTTAACCAAAATTTAGTGAGTTCTTTTTTATTAAATTCCGTTTCAAGAGTCTTAAATAAAATAAATATTTCACGGCCCCCCAGTTATGTAACAACGGCCCCCTAGAGGGCCGCGGCCCCTAGGGGGTGTTGACCAGCCCCCAGCGGCTGTTATCGGGATTTTTAAAATATACCAGTTGCCCTCGACCAAATGTACCAGTTGCCCTCAACCAAATGTACCAGTTGCCCCCAACTGAATATACCAGTTGCCCTCACATGTTAATATATACACGATTACAATATATAGCCTGTAAAATAGGGGAGGTAAATATACAGATAATAAATAAAATTATTTATAAAAATAATGTAAAATAGTATAAAATGATAAAATCAAATTTTGATATTTGCAATTATATATGATATTGTATTTTGTAATAAATAATAAATATAATATATTATACAAATAGTATGGATAAAATGAAAATTATAACGATAGAAATAAAAAATTCATAATAAATCGTAGTAAACATCATATAGGTAATATGAAAAAGTTAATAAAATAATAAATATTATAATAATTATGTGGCATAATTTGTTAAAAAAAAAAAAAAAAAATTAGATAAAATATTCATATGCTTATCATAATTACTAACAAAATAATATGAAAAAGTTAATAAAATAATAATTTAAATTAAAAAGTATAATTATTTAAAACTAACAATACATTGCCCTTTTCACTATACACTCGCGTAATATTTTCCATCGTGTTAACAACGTTCAGAGCTTTTCGTCTACTAAAATATACCTATTAAAGACATATATATATATAGGTATACATCGTATCATATAATAATGTCTAACAAAAAAAAAATTATTAATAAAGATAGGTTTAATAAATGATAATAACTAGCATATTCCGATAAAGCGTAATATATTTGTCGTTATAAATCGTTATAAATCGGCTATCCACTTAGACGCGTCTAAATTTACGTTTTTGTAAAATCCTGGCTTTACACCTAGTAGTAGGTTATTATTCAATTATTACAATTTTCATTTTATCCATACTATTTGTATAATATATTATATTTATTATTTATTACAAAATACAATATCATATATAATTGCAAATATCAAAATTTGATTATATCATTTTATACTATTTTACATTATTTTTATAAATAATTTTATTTATTATTTGTATATTTACCTCCCCTATTTTACAGGCTATATATTGTAATCGTGTATATATTAACATGTGAGGGCAACTGGTACATTTTGCTCTAGGTAATTTGGGGGGAATTGGTATAAAAAAATGTACTTTTGGGGGCAACTGGAACATGCCCCCCCTAGGTTGAGAAGCACTGCCTTAATACAACAGAGTGTACAATATTTTTTGTTATCCCATCTTTTGCTAATACAAACAAACTGGATGGTTTGAAAGCACGCCACGTATAATTGTGCGTGTGAAAAACGTGATGTGCTCAAATCTAAGCCACAGACAGACATTGTTTGGCCTTGAAACTTATTGATAGTCATTGCAAATGCCAATCTAATTGGAAATTGAAGGCGTTAAATTGTATTGACACATCTGTGGGTATAATAGGGATTCGTGGTAATAATAATAATTCCGAGGTGAAAATATATTAATATTTTCACCTTGGAATTGGCCATTTAAAATGATGGCTTCGATAACATTTTTCATTAATTTTTAATGACTAATCGCGTGCCGTTGTACAACCGTGGTGGGTTTAAATTACGAAGCAAAATAACCGGAGATCCAACTAATCTAATCTCTTTTCTATGGATCCAACCTTCAGTTGTAAATTATGCGGTTGCATGCCTGGTAAATTCAATGAGTTTAAAAACTCTGTTGAATAATTTACAACTTCAGTAGCATCGCAAATTGTATCAATAGATTTGTATGACATCGAGTCACCTGGTAACAAATTTTGTATCTTGAGATTCAATTCGTTGACGTCCACATTTTTTGTTGCTAAAATTGTTCTTTCTGCTAGCCACTCATGATTTGTGTACATTGAGAAATATCTGGTCGAATATCTTGCGAATCAATGATTGTGCAGAAATCGGTAGGTGATTGTATGCATCCCGTTTCATCTGTAGTAACTTTCCCATTACCGATATTTATTAATTGTTTTGAGAATCTTCCGCACGCAGCTTTTTTTGATTGAATCGCAAGTATCGAAATCGTTCGCTCTCTATCTTTACATACATGACGACCATGAATTGTTGACCAAGCTCACGGCATCGTAGAATAACGTTGTCTTAATCGCATCTAATCATCAACCGATATGTATAATAATCCTTCGAACTAACATTTTTGTTTGTTTTGGCACCTGTTGCGGGATATTTTTATTTAATATTTATGCAATACCCTTAATTTAATACCAAAAATAAAATTAATAGCTTTTAAATAGTTTTTAATAGTTTATTAATAGTATTATTTAATAATTCATTTTCAATTGCGCAGTTATCGACCGGGTCAAAAATTATTAAATTAAACTACGATTTATTAAACAATAGCACTTAGGAATATAAAAAATAGATAACCTATTTGCAGATCTAATGTAAATACAAAATTTCATTAAAATCGGTTAAGCCGTTTTGGAGGAGTATGGTTACAAACACTGACACGATATTTATATATATACATAGATATAATATTAAATATTATTTTCTCTCAGCTTCTAAAACCGGGATAAATGAATGACCGGCCAAGACATCGGGACGAGTGACAAGCCTAGTAGTAAATATACCGAGTTTTAAAGAAATGATAAGTCATTTCTTTATCAAAACGGTTCTGAGCAAAGGTTCAATATAAAAATCAACCATTTATGAGTAAATTT